AGTATAGAATGTCTTTCATTTTCCAGCATAGAAGGCGCTTAAGAAGCAGTAGAGACTCGTCAAAGTACTCCAAGATCATTACAAGGTCAAATTCATTTTCTATAAAGTGCAGGTAACGTTCCACGGCGGTAACGTTTTGGAAGTATCGAAAATCTAAGCCCAGGTCAAAAAGCATTGGATTTCGAACCAAATGGAGCGCCAAGGTTTTCTTCATTAGGGGTCTTATCTCTTGGAAAGGTGGCGGAAACTTCAAAAACGTTCCCAGTGGATCATCTTCGTCTTTAAACCCCAACGGGTTGGCAAGATGCATAAAGTTGAACACTGATTCGTACTGTGCTGCCGGATCCCTTAAAATCGTTATGTAGCGACTTTGTTTTTTGGGAAATAAATGGTTCATTGGTCGCTTGTTGAACCTCGCGTGATTGCACATTATGTTTGCTCCAAAGTTGTACAAGGGTGCGGTGTAGGAAAGACGAAATCTTGCAGGCCACATGAACGTGAATAGCTGCTTCTGTTTCGGCAGCACAAACGTTAGGTTATTGGAGTCGCCGTATCGATTAAGAATGTTTGTTATTGTACTACCGCCCGTTTTGTGTGTTTTAAGGAATAGAATTTGATCAATCGGTGAACATGACTTGTAGCTTCTACGTCTTGGATATTTTGACTTCTTGAATTTGTTGGATTGTTCAGGTTTTAAGGCGGCATTAGTTTTTGTTTCCACTAGAAAACCCTTTGATTCTATTGGCATTGATTGCGCTGAATGGATTATCGAATCTCGTGCCATCAGAATTCTGTTTAGAAGACAAACAAAAAATGAATGAAATAAATAAATAAACAAATAAATCGTATGCTATCTATAGATGTTACAAGCAACTTGGTCTAAACCCTTGCCTTACTAACTGGCTCTTCGGTATTTCAATATAGTTACAATATTATTATAATAAGCAGAACTTATTGTCGAACTGGTTGGATTGATTCCAGAAATCCACATGTCGCCTAATGTAAGTAAATCCGGATTCCGCAATCTGGAAAAGTTTTTCTTGAGGAATCTGGAACCCTGGGCTTTGAAATCCGGAAAACGGCTCAAGGAATCCGGAATCCCGCTAACAGTTGGAATCCAGAATCCAAATTCCACTAAATCCGGAATCCAATACCTGGAATCCAGAGTCCACAGCATGGAATTCATAATCCAAAATTGACTTGGATTGTCTTACATGGGGCGATACGTGCACATGCCACATGATCATGCTTCTTCGCCATGTCAGTTTTAAAAACTGTGGTGTATGTATAGTAATAGAGAGCTCTGGATATTTTCGAATTTTCCAAACACTCACTGTGAAAAGGAGGCCAAAACAACTTCAAAAATTTCATGCAATGAAAGAAATCACAATCGCCCTCGTTTCTAAAACAAGGTTTGGGCCACTCGAAAATCGTCTTTTTGTCACGAAATATGTATCCTGCATTTTCAAATGTGTTAAAACACGATATATTCAGAACTCGATACTTGGTTTTTATTTGTTTATATGTTGTTGTTGTTGTTGTTGTTGTTGTTGTTGTTGTGGTCTTATGCAGTAATAACCCATTTACCCATCATTTACAAGTTTATTTGTTACATTAAGGCAGTCTAAACAAGAAGCAGTCAATGCATGCTGTTGTTGACAGTAAAGGAGGTCGTTGTTGCTAGAGGAAGTCAATGTGAAAGAGCAACGAAGCATTGTTTAGTAGACTGAATTGATGAGGAGAAACGATGAAGTATAAAAGATCATCTATATGAAGAGTAATTAACGGGCACGCCGCATTGATTTTTTTTAAAATTTCATCCTACCTGGTTTCCAGGGTCTCTTCTCTTTCCTCCCCTGGAACGGGGAAGAAAACTAAGACCCTGGGTAGTACCCTGGGTAGTACTAATTAGGAGATCAGTAATCTACTGTAGATGAATGGCTTGCTTGTGTTTCTCCTTGCCCGAATTAACCAGCCATGCATAAACTAAAATATCTAATTAACGTTGACTCATCTAATAGCCCTCAAATTACGCTTAGGGCTAAATCTGCTAGAAGCTTAGTACAATATGGACCTGGAATTTGCTTAGTAAACGCCCGTTTAGTTTAACGATTCGATATTCAACATGTTGATCCAGTTTTATTGATCAAATCATTGTTGGATGCGATATCCAATCCAACAAATGTTAGACACTGTGTGGATAATGTTGACCGAGGTTGAAAAAGACAAATTATTATATATACTGGATAAATGAGCCCTAAGAGTTGTTCTTAAAGCTTTCGTGTTTAAAATCAAATTCAGCTTCTCGATCGTATAATGGGCTTCGAAGCACCTCTCTCGATGAAATTTACTATTGCCTGTGATAAATTATTATTACTTACTTGCCATTTGCCTTGGGGCAGGATGGTGTGGAGAAAAATCTTTCCTTTCCATAAAAAACAATGCAAATCGCGGTGGCAATAATAAGACTCCAAAACAGCGTCCTTAAATGAATCGCCATGATAACTAATGGGCTTAAAAAAGTGTCCACATTTCATGGTTTCTTGGTTGTCAATTTATGTTTTCATAAAGGATTTAGCGTAATCAAGCCCGTTGGAATCAGAAACATTATCAGTTTGTCTTTCAGATTGAACCGCACTCCGCGCTTTTTGGTCGATAAACTAATTCGTTAGTTCCTTGAAAATCAAATAAAGGCATGCGTTTTTTAGAACAACTGTCAACGATTAATCTTTAATGACATAAATGGTCTTCGCTTGTTCTTTTCACCTGCATTGCCAAACATGAGTCAAGTTGAAGATTCGAGAAATACAAGTCTTCTTCATTCCACTCTTCTCGTTTATATCTCGGCGTAAATCGTCAAAGTCAGTGCGAATCCACGGATATTACAAAAATATCCAGTGGTTCGAAATCAAAATATTTGCAGGTAGCAAAAAGAGATTAATTTCCTATAGAATTGAACACAAGCTAAGCATGAACGTGTGACCACTTAGAACAGGAATATTTGCTTTAATTATTATAATACCTCATTCCTGTGCGAAGATAATTCAAAAATGTATTTGGGATAAACAAAGATCACTCTCGAAACATGCAAACTAACCAACCTTTCTACAGATATTTATAAAAGATTGAAAAATCGGATCGTCAATTGAATTTTTTTTTACTCTAAATGTAATTAATAGAAATGCACTCAAAGAGAAACGGCACTTTGAAACAATTACAAGCCAACTGGCACGAAGTCTTAAAGGAATTGATGGAATTATTAGCGGAGCTCTCGCGCGCGAAGCGCGCAGCGGAGCACCATGGGTAAAAAAATGTGGTAAACTACCCATCCGAGAAAATTTGGTAATCACGTGACCGTACACCCACCGACCGCCCGCCCGCCCGACCGTCCGTCCGCACCACAGACATACCAATGTAAAATAATTCAATTAACAGGTATGGCAACCCAAATGCATCTCAAGGTTTTATTTGGAAAGAAATCGCATGGCCGCCCGGACTTTTAGAAAGAAAAAACAACAACAAAGTCGTGTCTTTTTCAACGTTATTTTTGATGTTTACACTCACGTGGATAACAGAGAAACTGAGCTAGAGCTAGTTTCTGAGAACAAAAGAGAAGAATTTTGTAGGAAGAAAAACATGAAAATTCAAAGCGGCTCTGAGACAATGAGAAATGCTAGTGGCCAGCAAGGTGAAACTGAGCGGTACTGAAAAATAAAAGCGAACATCAACACAGAGACAAAATATTGGGTAAGAATTCCTCCATAAAAATAATGTGCAAATAGGAAGTTTGACGTTTAGTCCTACAAAACAGCGTTGTAGTTGTGCAAAACAACGGTAAAGAAGGACGAAAAGCGTGCTGCACGTGCAAATTTTGTTGTTTTGCTAATTAGAAAAAAAAGCGTGCTGCACGTGCAATTTGTTTTTTTGCTAATTAGATCTATTGATGCCATTTCCATTGGCCTCCCCGTTTAGCATTAGACGATTTAATTTTTTTTGTTTACAAGTTTTATTAACAAGAGCTTCGCTTTTAGCCCTGGCTAAATCTATATATTATGGACGGGTCCTAACACCTCACGGAAAGACTGGTAGTCTCTTTTGCCAATCCCCTTCTAGGCACGACATCCATCCGCTGTCCGGGAATTTGAGCCCACCGAGGAACAAGACCAGGAGCCCGTTTCTCGAAAGTCCCGTTAATTAACGGGCCCGGTAAGCTGTCTCCGTTTACATCAAAGATCGAGGTTTCAATAGTTTTGCATCTAACATGATAAAACTGTCAGTTAACGAAACAAAATGGAGTTGTTTTCTTGCCAGGACCCGCGCTCTTATTCTTTTTATTTCGATTTGAATATTTGATTTCGGGCACGTAAAGTTAACGGGACTTTCGAGAAACGGACCCCAGACCCGAGACAGCGCCGGAAATCAAGTCTAACTCCATCACAAAATAAGATGCAGTCTCGTTTGAATAGCCCCTTGTCTATCAGTCATGAAATAAAAACAAGTGCAATATTCAAATGGCTTTATAAAAATAGATTTGCGGCTCTCTTAAAATCTAGTTTGAAACACCAGAAAGTAAACGCGTAATTTTCGGTCCCGAACTTATGGGCGTGCATTTGATCAAGACGTTTTACCCAGTTCCCTGAATTCCTCTAATTTTTATGCACTAACAAGTTCAGTGCTAATCAACAGATATTAAAAATATTTCTATAATTTTTATGCACGAACAAGTTCAGTGCTAATCAACAGATATTAAAAATATTTCTCATGGTTCATTATGCTAGTATTTGCAGGTAGCATACTGGTAGTCTGCTACACAGCCGTTTTTAGGGGTACTCAACAAAGTTTTATACGGGGAGGATCCGCTTCGAGGTCCAACCCCTTACACTTTTATTCACTGTTTTTGGCAGATAAGGTACCCCTTTCTTATACCTTCTACTGAAAAATGGTACCCCTTTCACTTACCTTATTTATAGCTCTGCATCCTTTTTAACTGCTGTAAATGCAATCTCTTTAAGGTATGAATACACCTCGAATAAGAACGTTCTTCTTGACTTTTTTACAGCAATCCTCTGTGAGTCCTTTTTACAGACCAAAAAGATGATGAAAATTCCTACCCTTTCATATAGCCTGAAAAACGTACTCTTTCGGGTACAACCTCTCCGTATATGGCATTATAGGGCGTATCTCTCCTGGGTCGGTTTGACGGCCAACAAATGCACTACAATTCATAAACTCAAGGCGATCTTCCGCATTTCAGGATGAAGAAGAAGCTGAAGAATTTTTAACTATTTTTGCCTTTGAAAATCAGGACAGTTAATCTGTTTTTTTTTTTCTCTTTTTAGTTTATTAAAACATGTTGGTTATCTGCATTCTCTGGACCCGCATTAAGACCATTTTAAAATTACCTCTCTTGCACGTTAAAATTGAGTATATAAATATCGAAAATTCCGAAAATAAGTCCCTCCATAATGAATATTTCACTTCAACTCAGTGAGAGGAAAAGTTATTTAACTCCAACTTCGTACACGATAACTATTCGACTTGGGACCAATTAATTAAATACCCGACGTAAGCACGTGAACTGAAAATCTTCATAATGATTATTGTTTTTAGTGTTCGAATGAAAATATTTACTTCAACGCAAAGATAGCAAAATTATTGTCACGGGGTTCTGTTGCATAATTATATCACATTTCCATGGCCTTTCCTGCCAATTCTTTCAAATTTCTTTGAAAAACAGAGAACTCAAAACCACCCACAATGCCTTTCGGGATTGTCGCGTGCACTTTTTCCGACAACCTTTCTCGAAATAGCTGTATGGCCTATTGAGATTCAATAAACGCATACATAAAGTGGATCAATGTACAAAAAAAAATCTGGTAGCTTCAAGGGAGGGTCCCCAGAAGGTTTATCGCGGGATCCTGGATTTCCCTTGTTTGAAGCTCGAGGTTTGGGATTTTGAAGCAAAGACTAAAGCAAAATCGGGGCGAGATTCGGGGTTGAGAGTATACACGCGAGGTGAGATGTCATAAATACCCATCGGTTGTACGGGATTGCGCGAAATTTTGCGCCGGGATGACTGACTTGAAAGTTCGTCGGTCTTTTGATACAAAGTTATCTTCACATGAGACGTCCAATGTTTCTCTCTTTGCTTTAAATTTTTAAGGTTTTCTTAAGCATGTTAAGGCATGGCCTGAGGCTAATTTGCATAAAATCTTATAATGGTCATGACTTTGTGAAAATTTATCAGAACCTTCCAAAATTTGGCCAAAATCGGTAACCTTAATTTTCCTGTAACGTAAGAAATCAGATATCTGTGTCACGTGACCACTTATTGTCGATTCTAGGATAGGAAAGAAAACTAAAAATGGGGTGGCGAGATGCCACGCAGTATATATTAAATACAGTATTTTTGTTATTGTATCATCATTTCTCGCTTGAATCTGGCCGGAATGGTTGACTCACATTTTTATTTAATTAGTAATTAAGCAAAATAGGTCACGTGTCACTTTTCACCTGTTAATATCTTTTTAAGAAATTAAAAATTCTCTCAGTTCCGGCCACGGAAAAAATTCGTACGGTAAAAGAAATATTTACACATGGTTCAAACTTAGTTGTAATCAACCAGTCCTACCCCATTTTGAATTTCTTTTTGAATATCATTATGACGTCACGTTTCACGTGACTACATCACTTCAACCCAAATTAATTCAACGCCTCGAAAGAAAGTTTCCCGAAAGTTTTTTGAAAATGCGTGGCCGTAGAAGAAAAACAGCTTTATCTTCGGGAGTGGGTCGAGAGCAAAAATTGAGCCATGCCTTAACATGCTTGAGATTTTCTCCCGTGCACCATATTGTAATAGCGTTGCATTGCCACAGGAAAAACAAAGGGGAATACACTGTGTTCGGATCTCCAATTTCAGGGTCACAGTTTCAACTTTTAATCGCCAATTAGCCCTGCAGGGGAAAAATTCCCTAGTATTTTTTAAAATTAAAGTTCAATGCTTAATTATTATGTTTTGGCCTTTTTCATTTATCTTTTCGTTTTCTCTGCGTAAACTTAATGTAATCTGCTGCACAATATGCCAAATTAAGACACGCTATATGGTATTGTATACATCCTCATTATTCTGAGTGCAGGACCAAGTCATTTAAATTAAAAACAGGACTCGATCGTCGACTGTGCAACATCATGAATTGTTCTTTTTACCTCTGCCATTTTCTTAGCGCCAAAAAGAACCTTGGTGTTTTATTGTGTTTTATATCTTAGGCCTCACATTCATGTCAACACTCCTATGTTAAAAAGATAACAACACGTAGGTTTAGGTGAAGAAGTATTATTATACAAATATCTGCGCAATTTACGGGTCCATGACATTGTGATGAAATTGCTAAGGACGAAGAGCACGACCAGAGTGGTCTATACATCGGTTCAGTTCTACCGCTATAATCCCTTTTTAAGACAATTGTCGAAGCAGAGGATTCGTGCATACTTCTTCTAAAC